CCGCCCCACCCCGCCGCCTTGTGCCGTCGTCGCCGAGCCGCCCCACCCCGCCGCCGGAGACCCGCCGCCCCTCACCACCCCGCCGGAGCCGCCCCGCCCCGCCGGAGAGCCTCGTTGGAGGTACCACCCGAGCTGCCGCCGCCGGACCGGTTTTTTTAAGAAAACCACTTCGTTTTTTGAAGAAAACCCCTAGATTTCATTTTTTTTTAGATCGGTTTTATTTTTTTAGGGTTTATTTTATTTAGCGAGTGTTCGCCCGTTCGTTCGTTCTAACGAACGTTTTCGCTGTTTAGTTTCAGTTAACGAACATCCGTTCGTTAATCTGTTCGTCAGTTTTTTCATTTTATCGAATTATTCCGCGATTATTCCGATCGTGATTTCCGATCCGATTTTCGTTTCAGTTTATCTTTTCGTTCGTTTATCGGAATCGGGCGATTCAAGCGCCTAGAGTTTCGCCTCGAACCCCTCTTTCCGTTTAATCAACTCAAACAAGTTTTTGCTTCTGTAAAATTTGACTTAGGTCCAGATTAGTAAGCGAAGCTCGTTTCTTTCGCTGTTGGATTCTCGTTGCTTCGTTCGATTTGATTTCTTTTGCCAACCGGAGTTCTTAAGTTGAACTTTCTGGTTAGATCTCTTCTTTGAGTTTTACCTGTGCATTAGATGAGTACTTATTGTATGTTTGTTTGTCTGTTTATTTGCGATAGAGTATCCGGATTGCGCCGCTTGCTACTTTGAATCCCTAGGTTTCACGGATCATCAGCAAGGCAAGTAACACTTTGATCATACATCTTTACTACCCGGTTTTATTGCATTAGATCAATCCTCAAACAATTGCATGATTAGGATATGATTAATATGTGGGTTTTGGGAAGTAGTTGTGGTAGTACCTATTACCTGTTCTTATATTCAAACCTTTGGTAGTTACTCTACGTTTGCTTAATATGCCATGCTATGCTAGTAGACGTGGATTGGGTGAGTGTATCCATGACAGATGTGAGATTGATAATTAATGGTTTATTTAAGGTGGCAACTTTAATACACATCTGGGTGGATTGAGGCACCTAGGTATTCCAGGATTGCCTGTTTTTTTTATGGACCGCCACCCAAGTTCAAAGGGTTCATAAGATTGTTCATGCTAGAAACTTCCGTGTGCAGCCACATGCTATTATGGGCTCTAGCATAGTTGATTAAGTCGTGTGAACTCTTACATTGGTAGACTAGCAGATGTAGGGGATGTAAGTTGGTACGGTCTACCCAATCGTAAGGTGCTAGTGCTTCTGAAAGACTATGTCTCGGTCATCCGTTTCTCAAACACCATGTAGTGTGAGAAAACAAAAGGAGGAGATCGAGTCTTGTGGGGAAAAGTGTGCAACCTCTGCAGAGTGTACAAACTAATCATGATTAGTCGTGTCCCCGGTAATGGACGTTTTGAGTATCTAGTACTTGGATTATCATGTGAATCTCATCATGTTACTTTAATTAATGTTGTTGGGTTTTTAATGATGATGCTTAATTGGGATTGAGAATGCTGTCAACCATTCTCAATGTTTAACAACTACCATGATAGTTAAATAAAAGTTAGTCCTTTGTAGTAGGGGAAAATTGGCTTTATGCAAAACTATAACCATAGAGCTTTCCACCAGCCATATTGTGCATGTAGTATAGCTATGTCATTTCATTACTCTCTATGTGTTACATTGCCAGCATATTCCATGTGCTGACCCGTTTTTGGGCTACAACGTTCATGTTGCAGACTTTTCAGACGATGAGTAAGATGCTTTAGGATCGTGGTCCTATACTCAGTGATGTCGTTGGAGTTGATGGACTCACTTATCTTCCAAGCCTTCTGCTGTTATCGTTATTAGATGGCCTTAAGCCATATTTATTGTAATAAGCTCTCTTTTGAGACATTTGATGTAATAAGTATGTGATTGCCACTCTATTATAAATCCTTCAAGTACTGTGCGTGTCAGCATTACTGATCCAGGGACGACAATGATGCACAGAGATCGGACTGTTTGAGGTCTGATCGCTACAAGATGGTATCAGAGCACACGCTAACTGTAGGACACGACCACTAAGCTAAAGCCCTAGATCACTACTCTCTCTTCTTAGTTCTGACTCCTCATCTTTTCTACTCTCTTTTAGGATGGCGGATGCAAGGAACAAGTTCATGCAACCGGATGAAGATACACCTTTTGGACGACACCTAAAGGAAGTCACCAAGTACCTAAACATCGAAGTACCAAGCTTCACCGGGACCTACAACGCCACTTTACCTGAAGAGGAGCGCTGGATG